TATGCTGAGTGAAATAAGTCAGGCAGAGAAGGACAGTTACCATATGTTTGCACGTATAGGAGGATTAGGAGGAACTTAACGGAGGACCATGGGGGAGAAGAAGGGGGGAAATGGTGGGGAAGTGGGAGAGAGGCAAACCATGAGAGACTCTTGAATGCTGAGAACAAACTGAGGACTGATGGGTTTAGGGGGGGATGGGGAGATGGGCATGGAGGAGGGCACTTGTGGGGATGAGCACTGGGTGTTATACGGAAACCAACTTGACAATAAACTACTTATAAAAAAAATAATAAAAAATAAAGATCTTTTCTAATCCCTAATCCAAGGTAAACTGCAGCCCCATTCTGAATTCCATGCAAACCCCAAGGAATTATATATATTCTGGATCACTGACAATATCTCTCCCTAACATCACACCTTTCCTATCTTTGCCCTCCTGTGTCACATAACAGAATGGCCTATAAACACAAGTTCCTTCCTGCTTGACCAAAAGAAGAGAAAACAAATAGTGCAAAATAAATATCCTAGGAATCTAAGATGGCCGCATAGATCACCATCATGGTTTTAGACCCAAGTCCTTCCTTTGAATGATACAATGAAGAAGGGAGTTTGGGATTATCGTGTGTTACTCAGGAGAAGAGGTGGTGAGTCTTGATTCACTAAGTCATTCTGGGCAGTGCTCAGGCTCACAGTTGTCCTGACACACTGGTCTGGATCACATGAGTGGTGGCAGGTCGGGAAAGTTGATGTGACAGGTTCAGTTGAAGACTCTCAGTTGGCATTCTAAACCAGTGCTTCTCAAACTTATGCATACACATTACCCAGGTATCTTGCTAAAAGGCAAATTCTGGTTCAGTGGGTCTGGAGTGGGCCATAGGATCCTATTCTGCTGTCTATTTATAAGTTTCAAGTGATGCTGTTGCTGATGGTCTATCACACTTTGAGTAAGAAGATCCAGAAGTACTGAGGATATTGTGATTCTTGTGGCCACCTGGGGGGTGCAGATATATTGTACTTTTACAAAATAAGATGTGTTCCTGAAACCTATGTGCAAATGAGATGCCACATGAAATGCACCAAGACCCCAAAGACCATATAGCCTGTATTTTCTGAGTTGTCTCAACTCAGAATGGTCTATTTTGTGGTCAAGTCCATGTATCTTGATTTTTGGTCAGAAAATCTGATCCCTATAATCAGAAACTTGCTATTCACTAAGGAGCTAGCTGGAAAACAAAAAGCAACTCTGGCACCAGAAGAATAAAAGTTCTTTTTCATGCTTTTCCAAATTTATTTGTCTCACTGAGAACAGATTTCTACTGAGCCTCTTTAAGGTGGGAGCACATCCATAACCATCTGATACCTGAAGAGCAGGAATCAGCTAACAGCAAGCAGAGAAAAGAAAAAGTAAATTTACCTCATTCTCCGTATCTGAAAGAGAAACCTATCCTTTGGAGGGGGATGATTGGGTATCTTTATCATCAAGTAGGAGAACAAGAAAAGAGAAAACTATCCCAAGAAGTAATAAACTCTTCAAAATAAGGGAAGAATTAGAAATCAAATGGAAATTCAGGTCAGGAGAGATTGGGAAGTTGGAGTGGATACTGACTGCGTTCATATGTGGCTTCCCTGAAGAAAGATGGAGAAGATGGAACAGAGACAGAGAACCCCGTGCCCCTGTTCTTACTTGGCAATAAGGTAGATCCCATGATGCTTAAGCAACTCTTCAGAAAACTCATTCCAGCAGTTCTTTTTCTTTAGAGCAATATCCACCTGCTGCAGTCCAGAACAATTCAGCAGAACTCGCAGGGCATCCTGGGCATAGCTAAGGCCCCAAAGAAGAGCAGAGTCACCACTTGACAGTGTCCTTCCCATAATTAAGTACATGTGACCTGCCTTTTCATTCCATCTTGGGCCAGATGCTGGTTTTGGGAAAGGGGATGTTTCAAAGGAAACCAACTGTCAGTGCCCTTTATCTCTCTTGATCAACAGGACATGGGATTGAGGGTTCAACTGAAATGTTAGCATGTAAAATCTAGGATTAATAACAGTTTATTAGCAAAAAAAGTTAAACAACGCGATAATTTGCTAAACGTGTCTGCTGGTATTCTTCTTCAGATGTTTTAAATAAATAGATACATTCTCATCTGTGTGGGATGATTTGGTGCACATCTGTTTGGAAGACAGAAAACGGGTTAAATATCTTAATGGGATGCATTGTGCTTTGGAGTTTTGCCTGGCTTAGAAGTCCACCCTGGTGAGGGCAAGTAACAGGTGGTGCATTTAGACTTCCCCAGAGTGCAGCAAAGCTAACTGTACCGCCTTGGGTGAAAGGAAAGAGCTGAATCTTTCATGTGGGCAGAATGTGTACCATCTTAAGCCCACACATCACATCACCAACCACGAAACAACTTCACAGTTCATAAAGCACATTTGTGCACATTATTTTAATCTCACACATACAATTACCCCCTGAAATCACTATCAGGGAGTAAATGGCAGAGCTAGCATGGGCCTGACTTTGGATCTGATGCTCTCACCTGCTCTCTCTCCCCTTGGTAGCCCCCCCTCACCACCCCACTCTGACTGTGGCAGAAAGTGGAGTGCTTCTTCATACACTCCAGATACACTCAGGGAGGGTGCTGGTTAACTTGTAGGTACTTGGGGTATTTACACAAAGAAAATGGTAATAAATGAATGCATTGTATAGAAAGAGTTCCACATGAACCCGAGGGACTAGAAACAGTTGACAGCTGGAAGCTTATTTCTTATCGACTCTGAAATAAACCACTACAATCTCACAACGGCATGTCCTCTGCCATCTGTCTCAGGTCACTGATGTAAAAGAGTTGGACCATGAGGGCCATCAAGAGCTGGGGGAAAAACTGGGCCACTGCTTTCTTGTATGAACAAACGGGCAACAATGTGCACAGGGCCTGGGATGCCTATAAGGGAAAGAAAAAGAAGTCAAGAATGTAGCCATCTGCCTCTAAACCCAGTCAGCCTTAGTGAGGGGGAAGGGAGGAACACTGCATTCCCTCCTGCAACCCCCTTGACTGAAGTGTGCATGCATATTCGTTCATTCCCTAACAGCTACGATGTCCATTTTGAATCAGGAACTATGCCCAGTATTCTATGGAAATGAACTCCCAAAGCACTCTCAACCACCCCCAGCTGCCAAACTAGTGGGAAGCACTTTCCAGTGTCCCCTTTGTACGTGGCCATGAAGAATGGTCCTACCAATAACCCAGGTCTTTCCTGTGCTTAAACAATCCAGGCCAGTGAGATGTTTAAAAGGAGACAGGCCAAATCACTAACAATTTTTTGGCCCACCAACCACTGCCATACCCTCCTACCCCATCAGAGAAACACCTCCCACCACCTCACATTTGTGGAGCACTACCCATTTTTTTTCCTATTATGTCTCTGTAAGACTAGAATTTACTCCCAGAAGTGGTGAGTTTAGTCTTTGGGAGATACAAAATGATGGGTACAAATGACATTAGGCCTCACATGCATATCAAAGTCTATACGGTCTAGCTACTGGCTAGTCTCTGACGCCATCTCCAAACTTCCACTCTTGCTTCATTCCTCTCCTTTCAGTTTTCTTGGAGTCACTCACATCCCATGCAAGCTCCCATCTTCAGGGGTTTTGTCTTTCTTTCTGTATAGAACTCACTTGCCCAGATATTTGCAAGGATCAACCCTTCACTCTCTGACTGGATGCCACCTCAGCAGAGGCCTCCCCTGACGAACTTTCCTAAATCCTCCCTTGTCACTTTCTTTTACTCACATCACTTTATGTCTTTTCTCAGCTCTATATCATCTGATACATAACACAGTTTTTTGTTCATTGTCCGTGTCTTTTACCAGAATGTATGCTTCCTGGTCAAGGTGTGGCATACAGTAGGCACTCAATAAATATGTGTTGGATGAATGAATGAGTGAGAGCAGCACAGTGTCCAGAAGTATGACCGAGTCCGTGGGTAGATGGGGATTTTCACGATCAGAAAACAACACCAGGACAAGGAAGCACTTAATACTTAAGTAGTATTTACCGCTACAGGCATCATATTAGTAGTATCGAGAGAGAAACGTCTTCTTTCTAGTAGGCTATCATCCATTTTCCCAGGCTTTCCTTTCAGTATCAGTAAGATTGTCTTCAGCACATGAGGGGCCACACTTGACTCGGAACCTGCCGCGTGCCACATCAGTATCAAAGTGCTGCAAACACAGCCCCCCCACCCAACCATCACAATGAGAATTAGGTTGTTCATTTCCTACTTAATACAGTGTCATGAATGGAAAGGTTTTTTTTTTTTTACATGTTTATATAGCAAAGAGATCACAGACAAGTCTAAACCAAACTGATAGACTCATTTCCAAATGATCTCATTAAGTCTCTTGTCCTTGAAAACAGAGAGTTTCAGTGAGATCTTATGGAAAATACAGTCTGCAAGTCTGCAAGTTGACTTCCTACCACATTTTTATTTATTTTATTTTTTTTACTTTTATGCTTTTTTGAGAGATGGAGAGAGACAGAGCATGAGTGGGGCAGAGAGAGGGAGACAGAATCCCAAGCAAGCTCCAAGTTCTGAGCTGCCAGCACAGAGCCAGATGCGGGGCTTAAACTCATGAACAGTGAGATCATGACCTGAGCCGAAGCCAGATGCTTAACTGACTGAGCCACAGGTGCCATGATTTCCTACCACATTAAAATATCAGTCCAGGGGCGCCTGGGTGGCTCAGTCGGTTAAGCGTCTGACTTCAGCTCAGGTCATGATCTCACAGTTCGTGGATTCGAGCCCCACATCGAGCTCTATGCTGACAGCTCAGAGCCTGGAGCCTGCTTCAGATTCTTGTCTCTCTCTCTGCCCCTCCCCCATTCATGCTCTGTTTCTCTCTGTCTCAAAAATAAACATTAAAAAAATTTTTTAATATCGGTCCAGCTCAGTAGCAAGAACTAATCAACTTTCTCCATTCCATACTCTGGTCCTCCTAACTTGTGACCTTTTTTGTCCAGGAAAAACAGAATATTTTAAAAACTGGTATGGAAATTCAAATTAATATATAAATAAATATATCAACTTAAAAAACCCAAGGAGGTAGAAATACTAAGTAAATAACTATATAAATTTAAAGATTAGAAAGGTTACAAAAATTGAGCTCGAGGGAGTGGGCCCTTTTGTAAAAGGTCACTCACATTCTAGTGACACAGATGTACTAGAGCCCTGGATTCTCCACCTCAGGTCCTCTCCCTTCTTTTCTGCATACCTAGCCACTCTTCAAGATTATTTTTACTGTTGATCATCTTAAAAACTGCTACACATTCCTTTTTTTTTTTTTAAATGTTTTTTATTTATTTCTAGCAGAGAGAGAGACACACACACAGAGTGAGCAGGGGAGGGTCAGAGAGAGAGGGAGATACAGACTCTGAAACAGTCTCCAGGCTCTGAGCTGGCAGTCAGCACAGAGCCCGACGCGGGGCTCGAACCCACGAACCGCGAGATCATGACCCAAGCGAAAGTCAGACGCTCAACCGACTAAGCCACCCGGGCGCCCCTACACATTCCTGATACCCTGTCAATCCATGCTGGGTTCTGAATCCTATTACTCAGTTTCTCTGCATTTAGGTTCCTGATGGAGGGGGGCGGGGGTTGGTTTCCTGGAACAGAGACACATAGCTCTTTGGAACCCATTACTCAACTGTTTCTGCCTTTGGGGCTCAGCCTTACAACCAAGCTTAGATCCACATGGACATCAAGTCTCACATGCCGTCTCATTCCTTTACCTCTCGTTCTTACCTTCTAGCTAATCAGACATTCCCGCTGTTGGTCTGATTTAGCTCAACTCTAAACCCCAGTCTTTTCTACCTCATCCCTCACCTACTAATGCATGAGATCTGCTCGTGACTGTTTAAAAATTTTTTTTAAATATTTATTTTTGAGAGAGAGACAAAGCACGAGTTGGGAAGGGGCAGAGAGAGAGGGGAGAGACGCAGAATTGGAAACAGGCTCCAGGCTCTGAGCTGTCAGCACAGAACCCAATGCAGGGCTTGAACTCACAAACTGTGAGATCATGACTGGAGCCGAAGTCAGACTGTTAACTGACTGAGCCACCCAGGCGTCCCTTCTGGTGACTATTTTAATGAAGTTCACTCTAATTATGCTTGCTTTCTGTACCACCTCATTTCAAAGCACTTGTACTGACTTCAATTGGCAACTTGTGTCCCTGTCGATCTATTCCCTTTCAACAAAATGCTCGGAGGTTGGTAATATTTTACATGCAATGGGGCGCTTAATTCCTGAATGAGAAAACACTGAGTCTTACAAAGATTTTTAATTTCCAGGAATTTTCTAAGTAGTAAAATAGCTTTGTGAGTTTAAACCTTCTAGATAAACATAAGCTTTCAGTTGGGAAATGAAAGTCAGTTGTATCATTGGTTTATCATTTTGTGAGTTTTGATGTCCTTTCACAGACGCTAACTCATTTAATTATTGGGGAATCAATATTGGGGGAATTTCAATTATTGGGGAATAATTGATTTACAGGTAAAAAAGAATTTTCCTCACTTCACAAACAGGGAAATTTGATCAAGGAGTTTAGAAATTTGTGTGGTTGGGAAGGAATTCAGATTTGTTTCCAAAGCCTGCATCTTTTTTTTGAAAGTAACTTCCTTGGGGCACCTGGGTGGCTCAGTCGGTTAAGCATCCGACTTTGGCTCAGGCCATGATCTCGTGGTTACTGGGTTTGAGCCCCGCATCGGGCTCTGTGCTGACAGCAAGCTCAGAGCCTGGAGCCTGCTTCAGATTCTGTATCTCCCTTTCTCTCCCACCCTCCCATGCTCATGCTGCCTCTCTCTCTCAGAAATAAATAAAACATTAAAAAGTAATTTAAAGTAACTTCCTACCTTTTATACTGTTAATAGTAGAGAAGTATTACCTTCCTTCTCAAGGTTCAAATGATAGAAATGGAATGATGTCATTTACTATGCTAGTCTAATGTGTGCTAGGCTCATAGTGTCCCATAGGCTCACATCGGTATTCTCCTCTCCTTAATATTTTCTTTGATCCTGGATGATGAATTTCAGATAAACAGCTAAGTAACAGGGGACTCTCCATTATAGCTGAGAATTTTTAATGTTTCATTATTTTATTGGCAAGTGGAAATGCCTTACATCCGTTCTTCATAAATGAAGGGGAAAAAAGCACTATAAATTTGATTACTTATAGGAAAAAATCCATTATCACTCTGAAGAATGATTTGTTCCCAGGGGATGGATATGCAGCAGAACACAATTTAAAGCCTCAGATACAAAATAGTGACAATGATTATTTGTCAGTGGTCTATAGTATGTGTAGATATTGTACAAGAATATGAAGAACATGTATGATCTTCTTTAAGCTTTATGACCATCTTATGAGATACAAAAATAGATATTCTCTTTAAGAAAAAAAAGGAGCCAGGGGCGCCTGGATGGCCTAGTCAGTTAAGCGTCCGACTTTCGCTTAGGTCATGATCTCACGGTTTGTGGGTTTGAGCCCTGTGTCGGGCTCTGTGCTGACTGCCAGCTCAGAGCCTGGAGTCTGTTTCAGTCTGTGACTCCCTCTCTCTCTGACCCTCCCCTGCTCATGCTGTCTCTCTCTCTCTCCTAGAAATAACTAAAACATTTAAAAAAAGAAGACAAAGAAGAAAAAAAAAAGGAGCCCATGTCCAGCTCTGTCTAATTCTGGAGACTGTGGACAAACCATTGTAGGAAGAGGTGAAGGGGCCTTACTTGTCTGCTGGGACTGGGTAGTCCATAAGCTGGAAGATGACCTTCTTTGGGGAAGTACGTGTCAACAAGGTGATGACCCGCAGCATAGCGTGCCTCATAACATGAGAAGAATTTTCACGCAGTTTCTTATAAATGGCATCCACAATCTTAGACACCTAAAAAATTAATGTCATGGGTCAAACAAGAGCCTCTTGTTCCATACCAACCTCTAAACCAAGGTGTTTCTTGGATATAAGCATTCAGTCCTTCCCAGAATGGCCCCTGCAGCAATTAACACACAAATATGCACTAGAAGAAAGCATATTCACGTGTGTTAATACACAATGTAAAGTGTTTATTTGAATGAGAAACAAGTCTTTGATTTATTGATAATGGGAAAATACCTTTTTTATTTTATTTATTTATTAAAAATTTTAAGTGTTTATTTTTTGATAGACAGAGAGATAGAGCATGAGTGGAGAGGGACAGAGAGAGAGGGAGACACAGAATCCAAGGCAGGCTCTAAGCTCTGAGCTATCAGCACAGCACCTGACATGAGTCTTGAACCCATGAACCACAAGATCATGACCTGAGCTGGAGTCGGACACTCAACTAACTGAACTACTCAGGTGCCCCAAAATACCCATTTTTAAAAAAAGGTTATTTGGGGAAGGTAGGCTTCATTATATAAGACATATAGGCTTAGTATAGAAAACATATGTATGATTCAAGTCCTTTAAGAAGGAAGTCAAAATAATGGAACAGAATAGTAATGGAACTAGTTTTTTATTTCAAAAAAACTTTCTGACTGTTAAAGAAGTTTTGAACTACATATGGAATGGGTAAACTGTGTGTTGGAAGAATGACCAAGAATGGTAAACACAAAGTCATAATCTTGCAAATTTTATTCATAGGTCCTATGTTAGTTTTATGTTTTCCCCTTTATGCATTCCTGAACAAGGAGATTTCTAGTTAGATGTGAAATTTGTCTCAAGTTAATGGTTGTAGATTCCACATCAAACTTCATCCTCCCGGATGACTGCATTTTTTTATTTGGAAATATTCCTCAGAGATCATAAGCTGAGATGTTGGTTGATGTAAGTTTACATACTATTTCTATTGCCACATATACAATTCAGTTAGTTATCTGTGCACAACCCTCTACTCAAAAAGAAAATAAAATAAGTGAAGTGTTAAGAGTACAGGACATTTCTCCTTCCATATATGCTCCAGGGTGACCACAAAGTGGGAGACATTAAACATTGCTTCTCTCTAAAGACATTTTTAAAAATATTTACTTATTTTTGAGAGAGAGTGAGAGAGCATGCACACTCTCATCCCCTTTACTCCTCATCCTCTTTTCCTTTCCATGCAGCGTGCCCCTAAAATGAGCCAGCTATGTTACTGTATCCTCAAGTATAGCAATAATTATCTGCTTTCATTCTCAAGAAAAGACTTGCTGTGTTAGAGTTATTTAGAGGTTATAAGCCCACATACTATATGTGTGATTTCAGTGGTTTTCAGGAATAATTTTAACCATGCACAATTTTCGATTATAACTGATTTTAGAACCTAACTCTGTTTAAGATAAGAATCTGCTGTATTCAGTGCTTCAGTTGTTTGTGGGAGCTTGTGTGGAGCGATAGGTTGCTGGACCCCAATTTTGTTCAGTTGCTTTCTCTCTGTTTAATGACTTTACTGTGGCAGAGGCTAGTTTTACACATCTACTTTTCTGTTGGGCTTCTCTTCCTCTCCAGGGCCTTGGTATGGCTTTATCTAACCTGTCTTTCTCATTGTATGAGAGAGAGCTTAAAGGAAATGACTGCTGCCCTTCAGCTTTCTCCTTGATTGTGCTTGCCTTCTGGAATGTTCCTTGATGTAACCATGTTGGGAGTTCTATAGGAAGTTTTACTTCCTCTTTTCTGCTCTCTGAATTTTAGTATGAGCTCTTGGTTTATTTTCAATCACATCACACTATGTGTCTGCACCAAGAACTGAGAGCTCAACCCTCATATTGCCATCAGATGAGGGCTGGTTTCATGAGCAAGTGACATGCATTTGCACAGGGTTCTGCACTTAGAAGGTTCAAAGCTTTGCTGTCACCCTCTTGAATATTTAAATAATTTTACCTTTGAGCTTGTGTTTTCTAAGTGAAGTCCCATGGGACAATGGAGCATGCATGTGAGCCAAGACGATAGTGGCTGTGGTTCATGTATGCAGCCCCATTCACATGCAGCATTCACAATCTACTAAGTGTACAGAATTCCAATGGACCCAAGATGTGTAGGAGTCATCGGGAAATCAAAGCAAATATAAGATAAGCATTTATTGAAGCCTCACCCACTTAAGTGGAAAATGATGACTCGTCAATAAGCTGAAGGTAGAAGGTGTTACTATAATGTGTGAACGTCAAGAAATGAAATAAAAACAAATGAGTTAGTTTTGTGTATCGTTTTCACTCTTTTGGTAAGAATGAAAACATGTTTGTGTATGAGCTATGACTTCCATTGTTTTGTTGAGTTGAATACTCCTATATTTTCACCTCTAATTGGTATGGCACAATGTAAAAATGGCCAGTAAAATCTGCGTTACTTTAAAATTTTAGTTTTTGTTTAAAGTTAAAAACATTAAACAGAAAATAAAAGTGCTATGACAAATTGAGAGAAAGAGAGGGACTGTGGAGGAAAGGGAAAAAAACTTCAGACGTTTGTATATATATTTTAGGTTTTCATTAAATTCTAGTTAGTTAACATATAGTGTAATATTGGTTACAGGAGTAGAATTTATGACATATGTTTGCATATTTAGTGCCACTTTTTTCTTATGTTTTGAACAGGAAGCCCACATTTATTTGCACTTATCCCGACAAATTACATAGCCAGCCCTACAGCACGTTGAAGGTCCCTGAAAACTTTCCTTACTGGTTACACAGAAGATTTCAATTATGTTTGTATTATTTTACTGTTGTTAATGTATTTCTTTAAAAAAAAAAAAAGTGATGCAAGGGGCTCTGGGTGGCTCAGTCGGTTAAGCGTCTGACTTCAGCTCGGGTCATGATCTCACAGTTCGTTGGTTTGAGCCCCGTGTTGGGGCTCCAGCCAGCTCAGAGCCTGGAGCCTGTTTCAGATTCTGTATCTCCCTTTCTCTCTGACCCTCCCCTGCCCACTCTGTCTCTCTGTCTCTCAGAAATAACATTAAAAAAAAAGTGATGCAAATGTGGCAAAATATTATGATTTGGTAGGATTGGTAGGTAAACGTTCATGACATTATTTTCTAAAAGTTCTGTATGCTTGAAATATTTTACAAAATAAACCCCTCATTTGATCAAAGCGACATACTGAATAACAGCAAGAAATACATAGGAAAAGAAGTAGCATATAACAAAGGCAAGAAGAGAATAAAGTTAGAGAATAAAATCCGTGTCCCCTACTCATTGTCAAGTATCTTACCATGGTGACCTTATGCGCATAATACTCCAGAGTCAATTTCAGTATGGTTGATGCCTTGAATGCAGTTACATAATTAGGTGAAGAGAGGGTCATTAGGAGACTCCATGTGAAATCAGTCAGCAAGGACGGCGTCAAAGTTTTTCCTACGTTCTGAAACCAAAAGGAGAGCCATGACCTCAGATCTGACCTAAAACACCCTAAGAAAGACAGGTGAATTCAGTTATCCTGGAGGAAGCTTCAGGACCAGGGACCAGGTAGTGCTACATGATTTTGGGGAGTCTTGGGCATTTTTGCAGTTCTAGCCCTCTTCCTCCATTCAAAAATGTTAAAAATCATATTTCAACCTGTGTTGATATTGAGATGACTAGAATTCAAGGGGAATTACATTTTTTTTTTCCTTCTGATTTTTAAAGCAGTTCAAACATTTTCATCTGAGTAAGTCAGCTGTGGGGCCAGGCCAGGAAATGGAAAACTATGACATTACAATTAAGAGGAACTGTAAAATATTGATTTCACACACATTCAGCTGTTCAGATTTTGGAAATTATTGTGAGCTTCTTCAGCTTTGGAAATGCGTTTGCTGAGATCAGAAATAAGCATGATTAGTAGAAGCTGTGGGAGGGGGTGAAGGAAGAAGGTGGGGTGATTCAATGGTGTGGACTCTTCTCTTTCTCAGGGAGGGACCAAGAAGCAGGAAGAGATTATAAAAAGGCTCCTATGGCCATGACTGTGGTATAAGAACTACAATTCAAAAAATCTTTTTTTTTTGAAGTCAGAGGAATGTATATGGACCGTAAGATATGAACAAAATTACATGATTATGGATCTCTCAGTTCAGAAAGATGAATGAATCACATTTTCTCCTTTTATATGCATAAATATATATTTATATATGTTACATATTATACACACACATACACTCCTACGTGTCATTTTCCCAAGTACCCATCTTGCCAATAAAAGCTTGTTTGCATCCTCTTTAAAAGGATGGAACATAGCTCTTTTTAGTCAATAGGGAAGGCCTGAGGTCTGAGTGAGAATGAATGGCCACCAGTCTCCGTCCTACTGGGCAGAGGTGTGAGGGATGATATTCTCAGAAAGCTATGAAGAAAGTTAAGGAGGGTCACCAAGGCTTGGTGAAGTCGTGTGACTATCACAATTACTTTGCTCTCCATTAGGAAAGCCAGATTTAATTAAATGATATGTTGAAATTGAAAAGAAATCATTGAAATGGGGAATATTCTCTTTTAACTTTTTGTTTACTCAAATAACTTATTGTAGTGTCTATTTGAAAGTTGTAGAAGAAGCACTTTCTCATGAAGTTAGAGTGACTGTTAGAAGTTTCTGTGAAGGTACAGTTATGACAGTGGACTATATCAAATGACAAGGCTCACCTATAAAATGGGATCTACCTGTAACCCTTCAGAAACATACAAATCACACAGGATCAGTTGAATTCTTCAGAAATCAACTCTACTTTTGTTTCTTACTAGCATACCATGTTACTACATATTCTTGATGCTGCTCACTGTAATGACTGCACAGTACACTATCAGCTTGATATCCCACAATTTGTCATTTATTTCTCTGTGTTTGACACAGTTTTTTTTAATCATACATCTGTGAAGAACTTCTCATAAATAGATCTATTATTTTGAGTTTTTCCTTTCTATGAATTCCCTTGAGTGAGATTACTAGTTTATTGCCGGGAGCCGCACTGGCCTCTCTGGATGGCAGTCACAGCAAGGAAATGTCATTGTTTGCAGCTCCTGCCATAAGAAATGAAAACGGGTATCTCCTTCTGCTACTACAGGCTCATGTTGGATATAAGCCTGATGGTATTGACCAGGCCTCACAATATTCCATATCAGACCTATATTCTGAATACAGATACCTCATAAAGAAAAGCATATTCCTGCCTTTACAAGAGAGATTTTAGATGAAAGCTCTGTGGATGATTGTCAAAAGGCTCTTCCTGTGGGCCTTGCAGACCCAAAGCTTAGATAATAAAGGGGGTTAAAAGCACAAGAGTTACAATTGAGCCTGGCCCCGAGACAAAGAGCCTATTTTGGGGTTAAGGGCAGAACACGGTTACTACATATACCTTTGCTACTTGGTGAAGCATGGCAGTCCCTTCCTCAAGGCCTACACTCCACAAACACCCTCCCTTACACTGGCAGCTGGGATGAGATAGATAAGAGTAGCTAAAACATAAACCCAGGTGCAAAGACTGACACATTTAGGGCCCCATGTTAGTTTCCACAAATAAACCAATTCAGAAACATTTATCCTCTTGAGAGACAGACAGAATAACTCCTAGCTTATCTATATACAATTTAACTTGTGTGTTATCCTGTTTTTCACTAAGAACATTCTGTTATTTCCTTGGTCGGAATAATTCTGCAATTGATATCATAAAAGGCCTCCCATTGTAAGAAATTCTTTTCTCTGACCTCATGTTGTTGCTGAACTTTTAAATAAAGACGCCAAAACCGACAGGACAGAGATGACTGCCTGGTGATCAGAAAGGATCTCAGGGCTCTCTCACTCTCTTTCGCTGACACCGTCCATCCTTCAGGGACCCCTGGACCTTTCGGAGTTGGCTCGGCCTCCGACAGTTTATTTGGTATAAACGATTTATTTTTTGTTTAGTGTGTGACACTTTTATGGCTTCTTTAGAAGACGGTGTCCTCTCTTGGAACTGGTTGCTATATAAAGGAACAACCCTTTAGTCTGTAAACTGCTTTTTTTTTTTTTTTTTTTAAAATTCAATTCTGCAGTTTCACAGTGTTTTGTTTCTAACTCTCTTGCCTAAAAACCCTGGTGTTTATCCTCTTATTTGCATCTTTTGGACTTTATCTTTGTAGTCTTCACAACCTTAGATTCTCTCGACTCACTGGTTCCAGTGTCCCTCTGAAAGTCTCATCCTCGGGGCTTTCTAGCTACTGTCCTGCACACAGGACCAGCACTGGCCTGCTTTGGTATCACAATGGGTAACCAAATAACAGGCCATGAATCCAAGGACCCAGAACATCCTCCCCCAACCCGCAGTATTTCCAAGTCCAATGGACATTCCGCTCAGAAGAGGGAGGAGATCAACCTGGAGTTGGTAGTAGCTAGCCTCCTGAACCGCTTGGAAAAGGCTCAGAGGAAACTGTCGGTCCTCCACTCACTAGCCCTATTGTGGCACTCAGGATCCTGAGTCCAGGGCACTGGAGTGGAAGATGGAAGGATGTAGAAGAATTTTCTAGTAAACTCTACATGCTTGGTTTCTTCATGTAAATGGATAACTTCACAGTCAGTCAGGCTCGTGATTTTTGAGATGTGGGGTGGGTAAGAATAAATGCTTGATTTTGGAAAAATACACTATCATTTGTGGCTCTTTGGTGAAATGACTCAGTAATTCGAATTCAAATTTAAGGTGCAGATTTAAGACATCTGTGCAGTAGTTTTGACTATGTTATGTAAAATGTATCCCTTCCACGTATCCTCAGCCTCACACAATTCTATCCACCTCAGCCATGGGAGAAGACACTGCTTCGTTTATGTATTTTTAGGAGGAACCCAAAGACTCTCCCACTCCAAGAGATGGGCTAGGCTGAAGTGCTTCCCCAGCAACTGTTGGCTCCCTGTATGTGGCTAGAAGGCCATCTATTGTACAGCCCAATTTAGGCTGCAGAGCTGGGTGACCTTTCAAGCATGTGTATAAGCCTATGTACTTTGAAGAAAGTGAGGGAATATACAGGGCCTCATGGTTTTCCCCAGGGGTTGGGTCTATGTCAAAATTATTTACTCGGTACTGAGGTTTGTCACTTCAATTTAAAATTTGTTTCAATGGGGTTTTATTTTTCATTTTATTATTTATTTATTTATTTATTTATTTTTAAATATTTTTATTTATTTCTAGGAGAGAGAGAGACAGCGTGAGCAGGGGAGGGTCAGAGAGAGAGGGAGATACAGACTCTGAAATAGGCTCCAGGCTCTGAGCTGGCAGTCAGCACAGAGCCCGATGCGGGGCTTGAACCCACGAACCGCGAGATCATGACCTAAGCAAAAGTCGGACGCTTAACCGACTAAGCCACCAAAGAGAGAGTGCAAGCAGGGGAGAGGAGCTAAGGGGGAAAAAGAGAGTGAGAGACAGAGACAGAGAATATGAAGAAGGCTCCATGCTCAGTGCAGAGACCAGCGTGGGGCTTGATCTCATGACTGTGAGATCATGACCTGAGCCCAAATCAAGAGTTGGATGCCTAACCAACCAAACCACCCATAATAGGTTTTTTAAAATCTAACGCAGGTTATTTTGATGTTTGCTGAGTAAATTATAATACTATTGCAAAGCCTATTATATGATGACTCTATTAACTTTGCTAAATAACCAGAAGTTCCCCCATCTTTAGTGACATATTTATTAATTAAACAAAAAGAAGTATAAAACTAGAAAACACTTACCTCATTTGCATGCTATAAGGATTACATAAAATAATACAAATTGCTATATTCAGGAATAATGGGCATCATTCTTACTCATGAAGATGAAAATCGTGAAGCCAAATACTCTACACGTTATTTACTCCATGCTTCACTGAACTTTAAAAACATGGAAAAATTTAATAAAAATATAAAATGTTGATGTAAGTTGCCACTAGGGGCGCCTGTGTGGCTCAGTCGGTTAAGCATCTGACTTAGACTCAGGTCATGATCTCAGGGCTCCTGGTTCTGTGCTGACAGCTCAGAGTCTGGATCCTGCTTCAGATTCTGTGTCTCCTCTCTCTCTCTGTCCCTCCCCTGCTTGCTCTCTGTCTCTCTCTCAAAACAAATAAACATTAAAAAAAGAAAAAAAGATTTGCCTCTAAAAGTAATACACACACATGTAAGAAAAGCCATGAGATAAAGCAGGTGGTAAGTCACCTGCGCAATTTTAGTTCTGTCTCGTTGCAAGAACTTGGGTAGGAATTCTGTATCAGAGGACGGAGACAGGAGGCAGTAATTTCCATGCTTCTCATTCTTCGTTGATTTATTTTTTTCAGTATCCCCTGTATTAAGGAAAAGAGTTTATGGTTTTGGTTTGATCATCAGTTCCTTCTATGACATCGCTGTTTCCAATTCTCCCTTCCTACCCAATTCTGGAGATCTAAAGTGTTCTGAACATTTAACTCTCTGCAGGTAGTTTAATCACATGCAATATTTTGATAGCACTGACCTAGAGTCTATAAAGTGTTTAAGTGAGGCCTCTGTGAAATATGAATGAAAGACTTAGATAATGTTAATAGATTCAGCAGATATTGAATATATTTAGGCCATCAAATGCATCATTCAGCCCACTGGAAAAGCTGTTGCTAAGGTACAGTGTATACTGATAGGGGATCACACTTGGAGGCATTTTGCAAAGAGCTGGGGAGGTCATACAGCAGGAAAGCCAGGAGCTCTTAGTGAAAACTTCAGGCCCTGATGTTTTTATTTCCAGAGAAGGTGACTTTTAATGATTTTGTTTGTTTGTTAACAGCTCCATGGAGATATAATTGACATACAATTTACTTAAAATGTGTAATTCAGTAAGTTTTTATATGTCTGTATATCCCTACAAAAATATTACTGCTATAAAAAAATAAATAAATGAAAAAAACCCCAACCATATTCTTTCCCTCCACCATACCTGCTCCCCTGTACCCACCACCCCTGACCCAAAGGCAACCACAGTTCTACCTTTTTTTCACTGGCTTTTTGTCAAGTTTGTATTTTCTAATCTTACATAACTGGATTCATATAGGATGTACTCTTCTGTTGCGTGGCATTTTTCACTCAGCAAAATTATTTTGTGATTCACCCAAGTGGTCATATGTATCAGTAGTTCATTCCTGTTTCATGGATGAATTCCATTCCATTATCAGCTTATCCATTTGCCTGTCAATGGACATTTGGGTTGTTTCCAGGGTTTTGGCTTTTCCAAATAAGGGTGCTATGAACATTTGTGTACATGTTTTGGTACAGGTCTCTGATTTCATTTCTCTTAGGTAAATGCTAAGTTATGGAATGACTGGGTCATTTGGTAGATGCGTGTGTATCTTTTTAGGATGAACAGCCAAATTATTTGCCAAAGTTGTTGTACCATTGTCACACTCCCTCTGGCAATGTGAGAGTCCAAGTTGCTTCAGGTCTTTAATAAGATATGGTATGGCCAATGTTTCCATTTTAGACATTCTAATGTGTATGTATTGGGACCTCATGGCAGTTTTTAAGTTACATGTCTTTTATGACCAAATATTGAACATCTTTTGATGTGTGTCTTTGCCATATGTGTCTCTTCGGTGAAATGACTCAGTAATTCAACTTCAAATTTACTGTTTTTTAATTTGGTTGTCTGTTTTCTTACTGAATTTTGAGTGTTCATTTTTAAATTCTGGATATGAGCCTTTTGTCAGAGATGTAACAGATATGTAACAAATATTTTCTCCCAGTGTGTGGCTTATCTATTCTCTTAGCAGTGTCTTTCGAAGAGCAGAGATATTTAAATTTTCACTTTTAAAATGTATAGGTCATGGGGCACCCGGTGGCTCAGTTAAGTGCCTGACTTTGCCTCAGGTCATGATCTCGTGGTTCACGAATTTAAGCCCCGCATCAAGCTCTGTGCTCACTGCTTGGAGCCTGGAGCCTGCTCCGGATCCTCTCTCTCTCTTTCTTTCTGCTCCCCCCCCATTCATACTCTGTCTCTCTTTCAAAAATAAAATAAAACATTAAAAAACATTAAAATATATAGGTCATGCTTTTGTGCTGTATTTAAGACATCTTTGTCTAGCCAAGGTGCAAGGACTTTTGTTTCATAGTTTTAGTTTTAAGGGTCCATTTCGAATTAACTTTTGTGTTATGTACAAGATATAGATCAAAGTTCTTCTCTTTTGCATAGATATATATAACCAATTTTTCCAACACCATTTGTTGAAGTTTACTCTTTCCCCATTGAATTGCCTTTGACCTTTTATAAAAAATTATCTGGCCATATGTGTGCAGGTCTATTTAAAAATATTTGCACCTACATTCTTGAGGAACATTGGTCTGTGGTTTTATGTTTTTGTTTTTCTTGTCATGTCTTTATGTGGTTTTGGTATCAGAATATTGCTGGCCTCCTTGAACGGGTTGTCAAGTGTTTCCTCATTCTCACATTTCTGGAAGAATTTGGATAGGATTGGTATAGTTTCTACGTTTAAGTGTTTGCTAGATCGCTACAGTCTGGCATTTTCTTTGTGAGTATTATCTTTTTCATTTAGTTCAAAATACTTTCAATTTCTACTTTTATTTCTTTTATTGACTCATGGGCCATTTAAAAATGGATGATCTGGTTTCTGAATATTTTGAATTTTCCAGATATCTTTCTACTTTTATTCCTAGTTTAATTCAATTTTGGTCAGAGAATATATTTTAGGTGAATGAAAGACTATATTTCCTCAAGATTTGATTTATGGTTTGAATTTGGTCTGTTTTGGTAAGTTTTCTGTTTTTTTTTCCTTGAGAATGTTCAGTTTTCCATTATTGGTGGAGTGTCCTTATATATTATAGGTCAAGTTGTTTCAAGTCTATATCCTTAAGTATTTTCTGTGTGATTATGAATGATTGAGAGAAGGGTACTGAATTCTCTGACTATAATCATACATCTGCTCCTTCTATCCTTTTTTTTAAATTTTTTAAATGTTTTTATTTATTTCTAGGAGAGAGAGAGAGACAGTGTGAGCAGGGGAGGGTCAGAGAGAGAGGGAGTCACAGACTGAAACAGGCTCCAGGCTCTGAGCTGGCAGTCAGCACAGAGCCCGACGCGGGGCTCGAACCCACGAACCGCGAGATCAAACCTAACGAAAGTCGGACGCTTAACCGACTAAGCCACCCAGGCGCCCCACCTTCTATCCTTTTAAAAAAAATTTTCTTGACAGAGAGAGAAAGTGTACAAGCGAGTAGGGCAGAGGGAGAGGAGGGAGAGAATCTTAAGCAGGCTCCACACTCTACACAGAGAGTGTCATGGGGCTCAGTCTCATGACTCTGAGGTGGTGACCTGAGCTGAAATCAAGAGTCAGATGCTTAACCAACTGATCCACCCAGACACCCCTAGTTCTATCCATTTTTGTTTAATGTATTTTAATTTTTAATTTTTATAATTTTAGGGATATACATGTTTAGAATTGTTGTCTTATTAATTAATTGACCCCTTTATAATATGAAATGATCCTCTTTTTCCCTGGAAGCATTCTTTGCTCTTAAATATATATGTTTTTGATATTGATTCAGTGACTCTCATTGCCTTTTGACTAGTGTTACCATGTTATACCATGTTCCAACTTTTTTTTTTTTTAAATAGTTTATTGTCAAATTAGTTTCCACATAACACTCAGTGCTCATCCCCACAAGTGCCCTCCTCCATGCCCATCCCCCCTCCCCCCACATCCATCAGTCCTCAGTTTTTGTCTGCATTCAAGAGTCTCTCAGGGTTTGCCTCTCTCCTTCCCCCACCATTTCCCCCCTTCTTCTCCCCCTTGTTTCTCAGTTAAGTTCCTCCTAATCCTCCTATACGTGCAAACATATGATATTTGTCCTTCTCTGCCTGACTTATTTCGCTCAGCATAACACCCTCAAGGTCCATCCATGTTGCTACACATGGCCAGATTTCATTGTTTCTCATTGCCATGTAGTATTCCATGGTATAGATAAACCACATCTTCTTGATCCATTCGTCTGTTGATGGACACTTAGGCTCTTTCCATGTTTTAGCTATTGTGGAGAGTGCTGCTATGAACATTGGGGTACATGTGCTCCTATGCCTCAGCATTTCTGTATCCCTTGGGTAAATTCCTAGCAGTGCTATTGCTGGGTCATAAGGGAGTTCTATTGTTAGTTTCCTGAGGAACCTCCACACTGTTTTCCAGAGGGGCTGTACCAGTTTACATTCCCACCAACAGTGTAGGAGGGTGCCCGTTTCTCCACATCCTCGCCAGCATCTAGAGTTCTCTGATTTGCTCATTTTAGCCACTCTGACTGGCGTGAGGTGGTATCTCAGTGTGGTTTTGATTTGTATTTCCCTGATGAGGAGGGATGCTGAGCATCGTTTCATGTGTCTGTTGGCCATCTGGATGTCCTCTTTGGAGAAGTGTCTGTTCATGTCTTCTGCCCATTTCTTCACTGGGTTGTTTGTTTTTCGGGCGTGTAGTTTGGTGAGTTCCTTATAGATTCTGGATATTAACCCTTTATCTGATATGTCATTTGCAACTATCTTTTCCCATTCCGTTGGTTGCCTATTAATTTTCTGGGTTGTTTCCTTGGCTGTGCAGAAGCTTTTAATCTTGATGAGGTCCCAACAGTTTATTTTTGCTCTTGATTCCCTTGCTTTTGGGGATGTGTCAAGTAAGAAGTTGCTGCGGTGGAGGTCAAGGAGGTTGTTTCCTGCTTTCTCCTCTAGGGTGTTGATAGTTTCCTGTCTCACGTTCAGGTCCTTTATCCATTTTGAGTTGATTTTTGTGCATGGTGTGAGAAAATGATCTAGTTTCATTCTTCTGCATGTTGCTGTCCAGTTCTCCCAACACCATCTGTTAAAAAGGCTGTCTTTTTTCCATTGGATATTCTTTCCTGCTTTGTCAAAGATCAGTTGGCTGTATACTTTTGGGTCCACTTCTGAGTTCTCAATTCTGTTCCATTGGTCTATGTGTCTGTTTTTGTGCCAATACCATACTGTCTTGAGGATGACAGCTTTGTAGTAGAGGCTGAAGTCTGGGATGGTGATACCTCCCGTTTTGGTTTTATTTTTCAGTATTACTTTGGCTATTCGGGGTCTTTTGTGGTTCCATACAAATTTTTGGATAGTTTGTTCTAGTTTTGAGAAGTATGCTGGTGCAATTTTGATTGGAATTGCATTGAATGTGTAGAGTGCTTTAGGTAGTAATGACATCTTAACTATATTTATTCTTCCTATCCATGAGCATGGAATGTTTTTCCATTTCTTTGTGTCTTCTTCAATTTCCTTCATAAGTTTTCTATAGTTTTCATCATACAGATCTCT